CCGCCCGGCCGGCCGGCCGGCGCGGGAGGCTGAGGGCAGCGAGACTGCGGGCTAGAGGGGGGCAACTAGCGGGACGAGCGTGCTGACCACTCCCTCCCGCCTTCTAGGTCCGGGAGGGGGAACCATAGAGAGGAGCTCTGGACTAGAGAGGCCCCGTGAGCGGGCGCCCCCAGGCCGACGGGAGGGAGACGGTGACCTGGAAACTGGGAGCCCCGAGCAAGCCTCTGGTGAAGGGCTGAGGGGGACGTGTGTCTCCGTGGCCCAGTGCGTTTGACTTTTCAAAGCGCTCAGCTGTTCTTTCCCTCTTACTGATGCAGCACTGTGTACACCGCTTTACAAACAGAGAGTGACTTGGCGAAGGTCACCCAGCTGCAGGCAGTCAGGTCGAACCCTACAATCCAGGTCTTCTGGTTCATGGCCCAGGGTTCATTCCACAGAGAAAATGTCTCAATAGCTACCTCATCCCAGAACTTCAGCCCAACTTCGTCCTTGACATTTAAGCTGACCTTCCAGAATTCGTGTTCAGGTTTATTTTGAATTTTGACCCTCCCCTCTCCAGAGACTCCTTTGTGCTCGAACTTTCTTTTGGGATCCTTGTTGCTTTGACCTCTCCCTCTTTCTGTGCCCAGTGGTTTAAGGCATTCCTGGTGTGATGGTCAGTCCGCCTCGTCCAAAGAGCACCAACCAGCCTGTCTGCTCAGACCTCCTCACTGGTCCCCTGATGGGCTCCCAGCCAAGCCCATCTCTCAGCACTCAATGGGAAGGCCTGAATATTTTGTGTGTGTGTTTTTTTAACATCATTCTTCATTTTGTACATTTTTTCATCTCAGCTGTAATCCTCGTGGGCTTCCCGCCACCAATTCACCCGTGCACTCTTCCCACCCCAGTTCTGATCCCACTCCCCTTTCCACCCCCATAAATGTCTCTGATTTATAGTTGTTCATCGTTCTCTTCTTTTTCTTTTTTTAATAATATAAGGCCTGAATGCTTTTAAATAAGAGAACAACACTGGAGAGGAGATGGTTGAAACCCAGTTTATTAGACCAGAGGCATGTGTCACCCATAGCTCTGCCTACTGTCCCCATCTGCTGCAGGCCCTTTGGCCTTATTCCCACTCCTCTCTGGAGAGGTCTGGTCTCTAAGGAACTCCTAGGAACCAAGAGTTCTCAAAGATACTATAGTCTCACCCTCCAGCTCCAAGTGCACACATGACCTGCCACAGGTCTGTTCTGGGGTTGGAGACCAAGAGACAACTGGGCAGAGAAGGCCTGGGAAGGGGCAGGGCTCTGGCCCTGGTTCCTGTTGGGGGTCGAGGCAGGCCTTCTACCTCACTTGTCTCTCTTTAGGTAGGAAGGGACAGAACAACAGAGCTTTCGACTTCTACTCCAGGCCTGTCTCTCTCCACCCACAGCCAAACCCTACCTCACCAGAAAATATCAGTGGTGGGCTTGGCTCTCAGGTGAAGAAAGGGGACTGGGTCCCTAGAGAGGGGAAGGCCACTGACTGAGATCTTCAATTTCTGCCTGTCAGTACCCCACTGCTTCAGCTGTGGAAGTTGCCAATCCACAGTGCCCTCTCTCTTTGACACCCTTAGCTTAGCGAGCAGATCTCGCTCAGCCTGGCTAGGGGCTCTCTCTGTAGCAACCCCTTCCCTGGGGAGGCCACAGTCAGTCAAGCAAAGGGCATTGGGGTGAGCAGAGCAGGGGAGGGAGTGTTAAGGCTGTAGGGATGGCAGAAGGTGCCAGGCTGGGGGCAGAGGATGAGGCCAGAAACAGGCAGAGCTTGTGATTCACAGCTTCCTTTATATCGCCACCGAGACAGTGCGAAGGTTACAATGCGCGTGTCGTCTCCTTGTGCTTCTCAGAGGGATGTGTGTACACAGTACAGACACCAGGGGAGAGAGTCCAACTCTTTATACAGGCGAAGGCATTCAGAGACCAGGGAGGGGGCAGAAACACAGAAAGGGCAACTTGGGGTGAGAGGATGGTTCTCAGAGACAAGAGGGGGTGGGGTGAAGACACGGTTGGGGGAAGAGTATATACAGAGGTATAGCAATATAGAGTCTGTATCATATAGAAATAGAAAATGCAGATGAGGTTGTTGGGAGAAGCAAATGAAGCTGGGGAGAGGATTTGGGAAAGTTCCATAAGAAAATTTATGGATGTGGCCCTGGGAGAGGAACCAGTGCCCCTCTCCCTGAGCTGGAAGCCAACCAGCTGTGTCTTTGACGGGATGGCAGAGAAGGGCTGCCTCTTGGGAGCTTGCTCCAGCAGCTCGGGGTGGGTGAACTTAGGTCTCAGGATGTGGTCTACAGCACCAGGGCCATATCTTGTCCCCGTACCCCCTTCTTCAGGGGACCCCCCACTCCCACCTCTCTGGAGACTTCACAAGGTATGGGGAAAAGGACTTAGGGTCTTAATTCCTGCCTGGAGATTTGGGGTTGGGGGGTCACTGGGCTGAGAGGGTCTCTTAAGGCTGGGGAAGCCCCCCCACAAGCCCTCCCCTTCAAGGTACATTCTCTGTTTGGGGCCAAATTCCAGTCCCAGGATGCCCTTCACCCCCCACTGGGAGGGGGTTTGGTGACTGGTGGCAGCAGAATGTAGGTGGACACTCAGATGATAGACAGACAGACAGACAGACAGACAGAATTCAGGCTGGGAGCTGGGGGAGGCAGCATGGAGCAGAGAAGGAAGGGCAGCCTGAGGTCGTGTGCCCCATTCTCTCTTTTTTAGTTTCTTTTAAAGATTTGTTTAGTTTTGTTAAAAATAAAAAGAATGGGATAGAGGCAGGGATAGGACTCTATGGTCAAGACTCCTTCCTTATCAGAGACGGAGGAAGAACTGCCAAGGAGTGGGGGTGAGTCCCCAGGGCAGGTGTCGGGGGGCCTGGAAACTGGGGGCCTCTTTGCTCTCCTAGCCCTCCCCATCTAGGCCTTTGGTACGGTGGCCGGCAGGGCTCAGCAGGTAAAGTCTTCAAAAGTGCCTCGGGCTGGATGGTGAGGTAGGATGTTGGCGGCATACGTCATCCCGGCAGGATGGCCCCGGAGGCTCTCACATGGATTCTGGGGGGAGGACACAGACAGGGGCTGGTTATTCGAAGGGTCACCGGGGCAAGCAAAGGAGAAAAAGTGGCAAGCAAGTAGGGTGACCCCGGGGTG